TAACTATTTCAGCAGGAAAAGAATGTTTATTTGCATTTATTTCCTCAGTCTTCTTGGGCTTTTTTGTTTGGTGGTAACAGGATACATAGCTTTTAGGACCTTGAATTTGCCAGACAAACAATTTACCACTGAACTATGTCATCAGGCTTTTACTTAAAAGTTTCCCAAACTAGCCCTCAACTCACCTGCAGCCCAGGCAGGCCCTGAACATGTAATCCTCCTGCCTCAGCTTCCTAAGTGGCAAGGCTTACAGGCCTGAGCCTCTGAGCTGAGCTCTCAGTCTCTGCTTGCTTCCCGCACCGCAGCCTGGATCCTAGGATCCCAGAGCTGTGGTCCAGGAACATACATTCCCACTTACCTCCTTGAACCGTCTAACTCATGAGCACCTACCCTGGCTACCCAGAGCACTCTCCTGCTTCCTCCCTCCTCCTCCTCCTCCTCCTCCTCCTCCTCCTCCTCCTCTTCCTATTTCTTCTCTCCTTCCTTCCCCTTTCTCTTTCTCCTCTCCCTTTTTGGCTTTTGATTTTGCTGTTGTTTGGTTTGCTTTGGGGGTTTTGGTTGAGTCACCTTCCTGACATTGACCTATGAAGTCTTGGGCAAGTGCTAACAGTTCCCAAGGTTCCAGACTATGTCACTAGAATCACCCTGTCCTCCCTTACGGGGTCAAGCTAAGGAAACTGAAGGCTTTTGGGGAAACTTGCTGTTTGTTCCAGAAACACCAGGAAACAGAGCCCCTAGGCCCCGTCTCCGCCCCATTGTAAGAGGGCCAGCACCCTCCCTCCTAGGTATTGATAATTTTTACTTGTCTAAAATTGGTTCATGTGTTTATTGATACTAGGGCTCCTTCTATAACCCAGGCTACTTTTAAACTTACCATCCTCTAACCATGCCTCCTGAATGCTGGGATTACAGGCATGTGCCACCACGCCCAGCTAGAAAAACACTTTGTTTCTGGTGGCGAATGTGTTAACAAAACGCCAGTGGAGCATAGTTAATTCATGTGGGTTCTGAGGTGGAAAGAGAAGCCACGAGCCATGGTTACCCGACACAGTTTGGCAGGGCAGGTGTTTTAGACACACAGGCCTTCAGAGGACAAGGTTGCACCGTTTGAAATAGGCAGAGAAGCACTGTAACTTGATGGTACAGGGTTTGCCTAGCAGGTATAAGGCCCCGGGATGCACACACACACACACACACACACACACACACAGAGAGAGAGAGAGAGAGAGAGGGGGGGGCAGGACAGAAAGACAATTTTGAGGCCACAGGAATGAGAGAGTCTCTCGCCTGCTGAGAGTCAAGAACCCCAGCACCCATGACAACTTTTGCTTATAGCCCTTCTTTCCCAGCTATAAGCCTGCAAATTCCTAGGAATCCTACCAGAAACTCCCCTTACATGAGTGAACACATTCTAACCCCTAGAGGCCACCTCATCGGCTCCTAGTTTTATCTTATCAGATTGAAATCCCATTCACAGTACCTCCAGAGTCACCCTATAATTAAAAAAAATTCTTATCAACCCTTGGAGCTGTACCTGGGGAGTCACCGAAAATGGTAGCCATGACTAAAACATTTAACAGTGTTTCTTCCCAGAGATATTTATTTTATCTCTAGACGAGTGTGTTGCCGGCTTGTTTCTATGCACACCAGAAGAGACCAGATCCCTGGAACAGGTCTGTGAGTCACCCTGTGGTTTCTGGGAATTGAACTCAGGTCCTCTAGAAGGGCGAGAGCTCTTAACCATTGAACCATCTCTCCAGGCTTCCACTATATTTTAAAATGTGTCAGCCAGATTTGGTCACTGACAGAATACCAGAGAGACCAACTTGGAGCGCGAGTTAGTTAACGCTAACAACTGTCCGACGGAAGAAACCACAAGAGAGAGAACGTGCACGACTCAATTTCGTGGCAGAAGTGGGAGGCTGCTTACTCACAACTCTTCAGACCAGGAAGCCAAGCGTAGAGGGGGTCAGAGAGCCCACCCCAGTGAGTCCCTCCCTCCAGGAACTCTCTATGTAGACCAGGCTGGCCTTGAACTCACAGGGATCTGCCTGCCTCTGCTTCCTGAATGCTGGGATTAAAGTCGAATACATGTAATTTTTTGAATGTAAACAGATGATGGGCTCTTCAAAAATGTACCACAGTAACCTTACTTCCTCCAACCAGGCTCCGCCCTCTAACAGCCTGTGAAATTAGGAGCTCATTAAGGCGGCATTCACCTCAAATATAGAGGGGTAAGTCAGTAACACCCCATGATCCAATCCCCTCTTAAGAGTGCCACCAGCTGGGAGCCCAAACTACAACATTCTCGACTCTTGGGGAAACACTCCACGGCCAAACCACAGCACAGAGAAACGCTTACTGAAAATAACTTCCTCTCAGTTCCTGGAACCTGTGACTGGAGAGCTGGAGGGACCCTGTCAGGCAAAGCTGTGTGGTGAAGAGGGCAGCCTCAGGAGTCAGGGACGCATGCACTTGGCCCTCTGGCTCTGCCTCCCTTGGGCACCTTGAGCAAGAGACTTCAAATTTATTTCAGAATGTTTCCTTATCTGTTAAATGGGAAATTTTAAGCCTTTACGAGGCTTAAACTTACCGATAAATTATCAATTAGTAGTTCAGACTAAAAGATTTTTAGTGCATTCATTTTGTAAACACAAATGGGATAGTGAAAGAACTCTGAAAACGCATTTCATAAATTTTTTAAACAAATTCTAGGCCAAGCTGTGGTTGCTGTGCTTATTTAAACAGGTTGTAGGTTAATGGCGGGAACTGACTGTGTGCTTGTGTGTTTGAATGAGTAGACAGACACACGGATGCATATGCTTGGGAAAGCCAGAGGTCGATGTCAAGTGTCTACCCACCGTTTTGTTTACTTATTTACTGTGACAGGGACTCTCATGGTGTTCATCCGTCTGCTACACTGACTCGTCAGTGAGTCCCAGGGGTCCCCGTGTCTTCGATGACCCAGTGTTGGGATCCCAGGTTTGTACCACAGGGCCTGGCTTTATCACGTGGATCCTGGGGGTCAGAACTCAGGTCCTCAGACCTGAGCAGCAAGCAGTCTGCAGACTGGGCATCTCCCCAGGCCCACACAAGCACACTGCTTTTGAGGAATTTTTAGACGAGGCTTTTCAGCAAGGATCCACGTGGCTGCAGTACAAGCAGGAGACTGCACACGCTGGAGCCAGCTGGCTGCTGTTCCTAACACAGCCTCTCAAGGGCAGCAGGCTGGTCCCAGTTCCATGGCTAACACTGTCTGCTGCAACAGCTCCACCCTGGTAATGGCCCTGGTGCCAGTGAGTTCTTCTACATGCACAAGTTAGAAAAGCGTCTTTCCTGGCGTTTGGAATATCTTAGAATCTAAAGATATTCCCCTAAAAGTCTTTAGAAGCCTGGGCTGTGGATGGTTGTAAATTGCAATGGTACAGTTGGCAGGAAAGCTTTAAATAACTTTGTCCTCACCACAGGCCACCACGCCTGCCCTTGGCCCGCTTTTAGGTTCACGTTGTAGGTCACAGAAGTTGTACCTGACTGTTAGCCATTACCCAGGTCAGTGTCCCTCGACCAGACTCTGAGGATATGGTATGGGGGACTGTACACACGTGATTCAGATCTATAGGGGATGAGAGAAGCGCACGGAGTAGCCAGCCCCCGGGGGTCACATCGCCACCCTCCCGCGTTGAAATGAATGTGTAGAGTCTGGCTACAGGCTACATCCTGTGTTTTATGTCAAGTTGCACTGCCTGTGGCTAAGATTTGAGTCATTTTTAAAGACTCGATGGCCGTGTTAGGAGCTCTGTTAGAGTGTCGTTAGTGGCCCCCTCAGGGACCAGTCTCAGCCACGTGCAGAGCGGGGCATTTGTTTAGATTGCTTTAAGGAAAGTACTCACAAACTGAGATGATAAAGAGAGACCTTTTCCAGTAGCTGGAAGCCCAGGGTGAGCCTGGCCAGCAGAAGCTATCTAGAAGGCGGCAGAAGCAAGACCCAGATCTTCTGGAATGCTGGCTGGGAGCAGGTGAAACCGAAAGTCCCCAAGGCTGGGCTCTTCCGCTCATTGTGTCCCTGAAAGCGCTCAGAGAGAATACACCTTTTTTTTTTTTTTTTCTGTTTCAAGTTTCTAAATAGGAAGGAAGGAGGAAACTACAAATACCCTGACCACCGTCAGTGGCACAGGACCAGAAGACCCATCTTTAACCTGAGGGGACAGGGCCCAGATCCAGAAATCCCACACTGCAGAGTTCCAGGGTAAATGACCACACTGAGACCTGGTGGCCAGTGCAGAGACATCTGTCTAGGGAGGATTTGGGTTGTCATGTCCCTGTGATGTCTTTATTAGACTCCCACTTGGAGCTGAATACAGTAGCTCCTCGGTTCGCGTGTCTCATGTACCCCCAGACCTCTACGGTTAGCTAGCAGCAAGCTTCATTCTCTGGTTTTCGGATAGGCCTTGTTTGTGCATCAGGGTATCACCGCAGACTGTGAAGACAAAGTCAGCATGTTGGGTACGGTTCATGTGGTGCTGCCCCGCACCCCCACTCTGTCTCAAGTAGCTGATCGCAGGGTGCACCTGGGAAGCCCGTCTCACACAGTCTCCCCGAGAAGTACAGGGGACCTTTAACCGTTCATAACTGCTGAGTACAATGAGGAGAGTCAATCCAGTGCTGGCCCCGGCACTGGCCAGTAGGGCGGGGCCGGAGGCCGCCGTGGGCCCCATCTGGCAGACAAGCAGGTGCTACTGTCACCAAATCCAGCTTCCTTGAATCACTACTTGAAAATGCCGGAGACTCAGGACAAGGTTCTGGCCACAAGGAAAACCAGTAAACCAAGGAAGGGAGGCCACCCATGTTAGAGCAGCGGCAAGGGTCTATCAAGGGCTCCTCCGCCAGAATCCTGCCCTGGAGGGGGACTTAACACTCCCTTGGGCCAGGTCACTCTCGGAATCACCCTCGCAAGGGATCGCCCTTAGGAAGGTGAGTTCACCTTAAGGCATGCAAAGAGATAAGAGGAATAACGTTCCCTTTAATGAGATACTGTGCTTTTTCTTCCCAGAATTTCACCTCCCACACACAGACCCATGAGTTTGCCAAGAGTTTCAACTGGGTCTTTATTCTCTGCCTTTATCTTTGGGATGCGCGTTTGTGGATCCTCTGGGGTGATTCCTCTCTCTCCACCATGTGGCCGCTTGTCTGTCGTGTGTCTGGCCTCCGTGCAGACTCAGATGGCACCACTCTTTTTTTCCTCTTCTAACCCTCAGGTCATCAGCTGAGGTTTACAATGTACCCTCCCCAGAGGCTTTTCTTCTTTTAAATGTTAATAAATTGTCCTACAGATCCCACTTGAGTTCACTCTTAAATTCTCTTACTAATGAGACTAAGAAACCCAAGAGGGGAGCCCCAGCCCCCCCCCCCCGCATTGCTACGGTGGGGGAGCATCTTCAGTGTAAGGATGAGACAGAGGGTGGCGAGCGGAAATGATGATGATGCTGCAGAGAGAAAACAAGGAAGAAGGCGTGAAGCAGACCAAGTCCCCTCACTAACAGGAGCTCACCCAGCGTGTAGGAGGCACAACTGGCCTGTAGGGGGCGCCACTGGCCTGGCGGGGACATTGTCTTAGCTACCTTACTTACAAATCCACAGCCTTGCAAAGGAAGAGAGATTATCTTGTATTTCAGTTTAAGGCAAACATTTCTAACTTTCTTAAAACTTATTTTATATTTTTAGGTGGTTTGTCTGCATTGACTCGCCTGCATGTGCGTGTGTCTGACACAGGCAGAGGACAGAAGAAGGCTCTGATCCCCTAGAACTGGAGTTACAGACGGCTGTGAGCTGCTGGATGGTTGCTGGGAATTGAACCCAAGTCCTCTGGACGTGCAGCCAGTGCTCTTAACCACTGAGCTACCACCCAACCCCTCAAGCAAACATTTCCTGAGTGACAAATATACTCACATGAAGAGCTAAGCAGAAATCTGAGCCCAAGGTAAAAGTGACAAAGGGGACAGACAGGACAGGAAGGCAGAGATGCCAGACTTGTCTGGCCTGCTTCAGTCCTCCATGGAGCACCTGCTTTCATCAAGCGTGGCCTTAGTACCCCAAGACATACCCATGCGACTCATCATTAAACCCACACATCACAGTGTTAGCACACCTATAAAGACTCATTAAAGAAGCTGGGGCTGGAGGTGGTGGCGCAGCCTTTAATCCCAGCGCTGGACAGGCAGAGAAAGGCAAACCTCAGTGAGTTCAGGGCAGCCTGGTCTACATAGGGAGTTCCAGGTCAGCCAAGGCTAGGTAGTGAGACCCTGTCTCTAAACAAAACAAGACAAAAGGAGGAAATGGAAAAGAGAAACTGCTTTTGGTGAAGAAATAGAGACCGAACACTTCTGGGCTTGGCTGGTTGCTTGGTTTGCCAAGGACCATCCCAAGGAAGGTGTGCTGGGTGGAATCTATTCCTTTAATGACATATTTTTCCTTTGCTGGATTCCCACTCCCCTGTGCAGTCTTTTATGGGATTCAGTCATCAAAATCTGCCGACTTCTCTGTATTATTCAGAAAAGCATAACTTCTCCTTTTCTTCTTCATTTTTGCTGTTTTCATTTTGTTTTTGTTTTTTGAGACAAGATTTCTCTGCATAGCCCTGGCTGTCCTGGACTCACTCTGTAGACCAGGCTGGCCTTAAACTCACAGAGATCAGCCTGCCTCTGCCTCCTGAGTGCTGGGAGCCACCACTGCCAGGCTTTCTGCCTCTTTTCTAACCCTGCTTTCCCAACACTTAGGAATTCTCTGTTATTTTGGGCTCTTTTTTCTCCCTAAGGCCGCTGTCCAGGCATGAAGCTGCTCATCTGTCCTGTGTCGGCCTTCCTTCTATTCCCTTCCTCTGGGAAGCTGCTGAGACTTACAGCTGAACTTCCTGGGATGTTCCCTTTTAAACTCAAAATTGTCCTTGAGCTTCTGTTTGAGCCCATTCATAAATTCTTTTATTTCATTTTTTAAAATTTATCGTGTGTGTGTGTGTGTGTGTGTGTGTGTCTTTCCAAGCTCAAACCCTAGGCCTATGCTCCACCTCTAAGTCACACTGCTAAATGGATCCAATTCAAAGGTCTAGACCAGTGGTGGAATGACCCTTTCATCAGAAAACCCAGATATTACGATTCATAACAGTAGCAAAACTAGCTATGAAGTAGCAACAAAAATAACGTATGGCTGGGGGTCATCAGAACATGAGGAACTGTGTTAAAGGGTGGAAGAATTAGGAAGGCCGAGAACCACTGGTCCGGAGGGTGTGAGACTAGCTCGGCTGTCCTTAGAGTATTTCCTTTTGAAGCCAGGACCATTAAGGCTAGTTAGCAGGACTGGGGTGTGGCCTCACTATTGTTTGGACCTGCCTTTGACCTCACATCCCCAAGCGAGTGGCAGTTGCTGCCCTGCACGGGCAGGCGCAGGAAGTGGGCGGGCCTCAGCCCCGCTTGGTGGTTCATGAGAGAAGAAACAGAGAAGTTATAACCTCTGCGGTTTGGTTTGTGTTGCAATATGAGCATCAGGAAGCTGTTCTTACCGGGTCTGGAGTGCAAAGTTGAGGGCAGAGAGAGCCCTGACTGGTGAGGGGCGTACCCTTCATCCTCCACAGGAGCCTGCCAGGCCCTGGTAACTGGTGAAGCCATTCAATTTCAGGAAATTTCCCCCAAACATAGCTCTGTTGTTGAAATGAGGCAGTCAGAGAGTATTTGCAAGACTGTGGTTTGCTCAGACAGGCTTGATTCCAGCCCTTGAGAGGATTGCTGAGTTTGAGGCCAGCCTATCTACATTGTGAGACCCTATCTAAAAAACAAACAACAATGAAAAAGAAAGAAAAACCATTAAAAAAAACAACAATAAACAAAAAAGAGTGAAACCTGACACACCCACAAATCTCATCCGGGCTGACTTTGAACTTCTGATCCTCCTGCCTCTACTTCCAGAGGGTGGATAGAGCACACACAGTTGATGCTGTGCTGAGGATTTGAACCCAGGACTTTGTGACTACAAGGCAAGCACTCTACCGACTCAGCTACATCCCTAGCTCTAGTTTGCCTCTCTCTTAAAGATAAGCGGCTCCCCTCAGTGGTTCACCATAACTGAAAAACAGCGCTCGTTGGCAGTATTACCAAACATGGGGGTCACAGCCTGTGCTCCAACAACCCAGGTTCAGCCACCATTCTCCAGGTGCAGATTAACAGTAAAAAGGAGAATGTAGTCATTAGCACTGAACCAGAGCACACTGATTAGAAGATAGCCAGAAAAAAAAATGTCTGAGCAAGAAACCAAGAGTCACTGGGCAGTAGTGGCACATGCCTTTGGTTCCAGCACTCCGGAGGGATAGGACGGTGGATCTCTGTGAGTTCCAGACTAGCCTGGTTGATGTACAAAGTGAGTTCCAGGACAGTCAGAGCTACAGAGAAACCCTGTTTGAAAAAAGAAAGGAAGAAAAGAAGGAAGGGAGGGAGGGAGGGAGAGAGAGGGACAGGGAGAGAGGAAGGGGGAAGAGGAGGAAAGGAGGAAGATAGGAAGGAAGGAAGGAAACAAACCAACCAAAAGCCCCTGGTAGGGATATGGAGACCACAGACAGAAATCAGAACTCCTTGGAGTTTAGTGGGATAGAGCCTCCTATCTACAACCCTATGATGGTCACCTCAGAAGTGTCCCGAGGACCCAGCTAGAGAGAAGATTATTGAGACCATCAGGGTTCACACTCCTCCCTACAGCTCCTGAGGGTCCAGACCCTTCCCTTGCCACATGCCTGGCTCACCAAGTGAGGATGACCGGCGCCAGGGGAGGGAAGGTTCTTCCACAGAGAATGGTACCGGCCCGCCCGTAGAGGTAGTTAACAGTGAACTAAATTCCCTGGTAGGCGCTTCCTCAGGGTGTCACGTGGTGTGGACAATCTCTCTGAGAAGTCAGGGACGCCTGATACAAACAGGCGCCACACAGCTGGCAGAGACTGACTCTAAAGGCCTCTTACGGGCCCAGGTCCGCAGGGTGAGCTTCACAGTCGCTTTGATCTTAATTAGCGTTCTGGGGTATTAAAATCTACGCCCACACTCTTCTAAAGGGCGAGGGCCCAGCGCAGGGAGCGGGGTAGTGCTCAGGACAATGCCAGGAGGTGGAGTTCCCAGGGGGTTGGGACACGGCCAGCCTTACCCTGCAGTATGCACTAGGGAACCGAACATGGTATTACGGAGGCAATGACTGTATCCACAGGCGCCTCATTCCTGCACTTGGTGCGAGAGGGAATTCCAAAGGGGAAACTCGGCGTGGGCAATGGGGAACATGCCCCAGGCTGGCCTGAAGAGCTCGTACTCTTCCCCCATTGGCCGCCTTCCCGATGCCTATTTTATTACATTAGCTTATCTATTGTCGGGGTGAAAGTGGGGTGCAGTCACAGCCCACCAGTGGAGGAGATCAAAGGACAACTTACAGAAGGAATCAGTTCTCTTCCTCCATGATGCAGGTCCCGGGGATCAAACTCGGGTCATCAGGTACATTGTCGAGCGCCTTTACCCACGTATTACCCCCGCCAGCCAGATTCTCGTTTGGACAGACACCTGGGCAGCATGTTCCCGGGGAGTAGCGCCCCCTGCTGGAGCGTCTGCAGAAACTTCACTTCCCTGGCAGGATGCAACAGACATCACCTTGGAGAGATTAGAGGGACAGAGCCTTGTGCCCGCCCACTCTCTGCAGGACTCTGGGGCGGGGAATGGTCATTCAGAACCCTGCTCCCTGTGCCAGATCGAGTCCAGCCATAGTCCAGTGGGAGAATGAAACGGGGCCGCAAGAGGTACAGAACAGCGGGGTCCAGTGGGGCCGTCCTCTGACCTGAAGCCAGGGGCCCATCGAGGAGGACAGGAGGACCACAGCTGCTGTTCCCAGGAGAATCCCCCAAAGAAACGGCCCAGAATGAAAGTCAAGCAAGCGCCATCTTCCGAGCTTCGTCATTTCCATCCGTGTCCCCTCCAGTCTATCTCAATGCACGGGCCTTAGGCTGGCTCCGCCCCTCCCTCCCTGGACGCATTGTCTCCCCGGGATCTTAAACCCAAATTAGCTGCTGATTCAGTGAAGCGGAGGTGGTCACACTGGTCAGCCTGACCCTCTTCCTCTAATGTAGTGATTCTGAACCACAGTAATTGGTCTTTATTCCTAGAACAACCAGTCTTCACCACATGGTGGATTGGTGCCCCTACTCCCAGCTCCGGGAACATGGTAGAGCTCACAGTGTCTCTGGGACAAAAAGCTCTTCAGCAGCTCGGGTTTAATGGAAGCAGTCGTCCTTCTCAGACAGCCACCTGGGGCTTTTCATGAATTCGATGGCCACTGCACCTGCCCCTCACCTCTTACACAAACAAGGGGCTTTAGGCTCAGCCTGAGGGACCTTCATGAAGCAGTCATCACACCGCTGCCTTCGAGTCTCTCCCAGAGGTTTGTCATTACTGTGTAAACTCAACCAGGAAATTCTCCACCACTGTGGGGATCCCAAAGCCTCCCGTTGTGGCATCCTGACCAAAAAGGCCCTGTGACCTGACTGACAGTGCGAACCCTGTGACTGTGACCTGACCCTATCTAGAACCTTCTCCCTCTTGACTCCGTGTGGCTTGCTGACACGCTCTCTCAGATCCTTGTCTTTCTCCCCTGCTGCAGCTCCCCATGCCTCTCCTTTGCTGAGAACTTAAAGTCTTCAATCCCACTGTCCTCAGCTTGCTGTCCTGGAAAGAAAAGGCACCAGAGCCGGGGTGGAGAGGCCGGGGCAGCTCTCTCAGGCCTGGGCTTTTGGTGATCCATGAATGCCAGCTGCCCACGCTGACAAAGTCCCTGCTTTCATGCCTCTTCGTGTGGATGCCCCCCCACTCTCCCTCACTCCCCCATCTCCACCCCCACCATCTCGGCCATGAGCTGCCGTACATCAGTCTCCTCTGAGATAGAAACAGTCTACCCTACAACGCAACTTCTTAAGCAGAAAGGTCAAAGGCCTCCTGCTCCTAGCACCCAACCCCACACCTGCTAGGCTCACAGGGTGGAGACAGAGGCAGGGCTGGGTGTACATCTGGGTTCCCTCAAGCACAGCCTTCCTACCCCAAGCCTCTTTTCTTGTACCTCCCAGCATCCAGAGCACCTGGAGAACTGAGGCAGAGGTGCAATGGGGTGTGAGCCGCTAGGCTACTCTGCCCAAACTCCACCTCTGCACACCCTGCAGCGTGAGTGCCCTTCCTAAGGTAAGAACCACCAGGCTCGGAGCTGGTCTACACTGCAGGGTCAGCAGAGAAGAAATGGACTGCCGACCCAGGTGAAGGGCCCAGAGAGCTGGATCTGAGGACAGGACAGGGCAGGTCCAGGCCAGGTGTCCCAGGGGACACTGTGCTATACAGTAAAGAAAGAAACCTATGCACAAGCTGCAGTTTGTTTTCCTATGGTGTCCAGGTGGCTTCCTTCCTTTGGGCTGACAACAAGGAGAAGCTTGCAGAGGCCCATGTGACCCTGGGTCTGTCCCCACAGCAGTGGCCCAGTCTGAACTGCAGCTCAGCCTGTCTCCAAGGTGCAGCAGGATCTACCTTAACGAAGATGGCTGTCACCTTGCTTGGGAATTGGGAAGCAAGAGGATGACCTTGAACTTGTGCAGACGAGAACCTAGACCGTGTACAACCCCTCTCTTCATAGTCTGAGGCCAGTGGAGTGACCTCTGTCTGAGAACTAGTCGTCTGGCCAATGATGGAGTCAGAGGATGGACACAGACCACATCAAGGAAGTCAAGGACAGGCAAAACCACGGAGCCATAGGAACTGTGAGGGGAGAGGTGTCAAAAAAAAAATAGGACCTGTGCAACTGAGACCAGGACAGGGCAGGAGCAGGTCCTCTTCACCCTTGGCATCCTCTTGGGAGGTGGTGCTGATTCCTTTTTTTTTTTTCTGGTTTTTTGAGACAGGGTTTCTCTGTGGCTTTGGAGGCTGTCCTGGAACTTGCTCTGTAGACCAGGCTGGCCTGGAACTCACAGAGATCCTCCTGCCTCTGCCTCCGGAGTGCCAGGATTAAAGGCGTGTGTCACCAATGCCTGGCAGTGGCGCTGATTTTTTAAGCCACTGCAGTGACCCTCAGCCACACACTTGGGTGCCTTTCCTGGAGTGTTGCCACAGCCTTTCTCACCCCCGTGTGGAAACAACTAAGGGAGGAATGGGTCGTTGTTGGCTCTCACTTTCGGGAGTTTCCTTCTGTCACGCTGGATCGCCACGGTGCAACTCATGGGTCACAGGAAGCAGAGAAAGAAGGCATACAGGAAGAGGCTGTCACAAGATACGGCCTCCCAGGACACACACCCAATGACCCACTTCCTCTGCTGGGCCCCACTCCTGCCTTCGCCCTACCTGGTAATGACTATGAACCAAGAGATCAGGCTCCTGATTCGGCCAGAACCCCCAGGAGCTAATCCTCTCTGGCAATGCCTCACAGACATACCCGTGCTTTACCAACCCGGGTGTTTCTTAAACCAGTCCCACTGACAAGACCACAACGTCCTAACCAACCCTCTACTTCTGCCCTTACCCTGCAGGCTGCCCTCCATGCAGCCAAAAGTGATTTTCTCTTTTAAATCCTAAGTAAGGTCTTGTCGTTTGTCTGCTGGAAACCTCCAGTGGCCTCTCATACACCCTGCAGCATCTTCTCACCCTTCCTACTCAACAGGCCCTACCCTCTGCCATTGTCCTCCCTTGTTACTGAATGTCCTGCCCAGTTCCTCAGCCACTTTGCCCCAAATGAACACACGGATGCTACATTAATTATAAAACTGTTGGCCGGTGGCTAGGGCTTCTTATTGGCTAGCTCTGTTTCAATTATTTTTTTAAAAGATTTATTTATTATGTATACAGCATATATGCCTGCAGGTCAGACAGGGCACCAGATCTCATTATAGGTGGTTGTGAATGTGGTTGCTGGGAATTGAACTCAGGACCTCTGGAAGAGCAGTCAGTGCTCTTAACCTCTGAGCCATCTCTCCAGCCCCTCTGTTTCAATTATTAACCCCTTTCTGTCAATATAAGTATTTCCATGTGGTCTTATCTTATTCTCTCGGTGGCTACATGGCAACTTCCTGCCTACCTTTCCATGAATTCTCTTCTCCTAGTCCTGCCTATCTTCCTGCCTTATTGGCCAACAGTGTTTTATTCGTCAACCAATAAGAGAAACATATATACGGAAGGACATCCCCATCACTCCCTACTCACCTAGTGCTTAACACCACAGTGTCCTTGTGGCTGGCTTCCCCCTGAGGACCTTAGTACACTCTGCCTTCTCTAGCAAACTACTTCCCAAATACTTTTGTGGCCCCCATTGTTCCTCAGATGGTACTTACTTGACTCTGTTAAGAATTATAATTTGAGGGGCTGGAGAGATGGCTCAGAGGTTAAGAGCACTGACTGCTCTTCCAGAGGTCCTAAGTTCAATTCCCAGCAACCACATGGTGGCTCACAACCATCTACAATTCAATCTGGTGCCCTCTTCTGGCAGAACACTGTATATGTAATGAGTAAATAAATCTTAAAAAAAAAAGAATTATAATTTGAGCCTGTTGTGGTGGTGCACACCTTTAACTGAAGCACTCAGGAGACAGAGGCAGTAGGATCTCTGTGAGTTCAAATCCAACTGGTCTACAGAGTGAATTCCAGGACAGGTTCCAAAGATACACAGAGAAACTCTGTCATAAAAAAAAATACATTAAATAAATAAATAAATAAATAAATAAATAAATAAATAAATTATAATGTGGGCCCAGGAGTTAAGAGCACATGCTGTTTGTGGTGGTTTGAATAGGAATACCACCCCCAGTAGGATCATGTATTTGAATGTCTAGTCATCACAGAGTGGCACTATTTGAGAAGGATTAGGAGGTGTGGCTTGTTGAAGTAGGTGTGGCCTTGTTGGAAGGAGTGTTACTGGAGGTGGGTTTTGAGGTTTCAAAAGCCCATGCTAGGTCCAGTTCTGTCTCTTGGCCTGTGGATCAGGATGTATCTCTCATCTACTGCTCCAACACCATGTCTGCCTGCACACCACCATGCTCCCCCACCATGATGATAATGACTGAACCTCTGAAACTGTAAGCCAGCCCCAGCTAACCATGCTAGATCCTGGGGGCCGGAGGGCTGCTTCTCTTCATGCTCCTTCAGTTTTCCCCTTTTGTTCCTCTTCCCTGTCTGACGTTTGCTGGGGTCTGGAGGGCAGGCCGTGTGAAGAGGGAAAAGCTATCTGAGGCTCCCAGGACTGCAAGGCCATCAAAGGGTGGTGGGCTTTACTGAGAGCACAAAATACACTAAGACCAGTGGGCCAAAGATGGACCAAAAAGAAAAAAAGTCATTTCCCGAAGCCCAGCTTTTCAAACTGTGGGTCACGGCAGAGCAAGCATTGACTCAGAGCTAAAGTGTAGTGAACCCTGGCATTTCTGACTGTGCCCACCTAGGCTGCCCAGTGAGACGTCACGGCAGCCTTGGCTCTGAACACACAACATGCACACTGTGCGTGCCCTGCTGCCACACAACACCTGTCAATGCTGCCTGCCATCCCGTGCTCAGATCTGAGACTGTACAGGACAAGCTGCAGCGTTTTTACTGTACATACAAAGTCTTCTGTTCTTACAAAAACACTGAGGTTTAATTATGGTAAACAAATGCTTTCAGTATTTTCCTACTGTCATCCCTCAGCAGGCGTCACATGAATATATATTTGGGTTGCATTATGTAAGAATATTTGATCTTAAAAAGTGCTGCTTGAGCTGCTGACTTGGGTTTGATAAAGAGAACATCATTCAATGAATTGTGGCTTGAGATTAAGACAGAATCTAAGATGATTTCTGAAATGGCTCAAAACAGATTCCTGCTATTTTGCACCCAACAGTTATGTGTTTTGGTGTTCTCAACATTAACAACTATAATTCCATCACTTCTGAAAAACATTGAAGATATTCCATGTCCTATGGTATAAAATACTTAGCCAGTGTCATATTTGCTATGTAAATATAAATAATTGCATCCACCTCACTGCTACACAAATTTACTTTCGTCTTTAAGAAATGCTAAAATTATATGTATACCTAAGAACTGCTTTAAAAACTCTTTATGAACTGTTTCCTGTAAATGTTTGATTGGTTACAAGTTTTATGTCTCTGTATAGCTAGCGTGGCATACAAAGGGCAGCGAGTAAAAACAGTTTAAGCCCTGCCCTCAAGAACTTCTGCCAGAGCAAGCACTCCCTTTCTGGGAGCGGATGGCCTGGTGAGCTCTGGCAGACATCCGGGTCACTGTGCTCTCCCTGTACCCACGGCCAGCCCAGGTCTCAGTGTCTCAGCTCGGCTCCCCCCCCCTCTACCAGCCCCCCCCCCCCCGACCAGGCAACAAGCATCCCAAAGCCTGAGCCCTACTGCCTGGAGAACTGTAAGAAAGACTAGCCCAGGCCCCAGGCCACTGGGGACCCTGGGACCTCAGTCTGCCCCTCAAGAGTGTGTGGGAACAACCGGCCAGGGCTAGGAGCTGCTATGGCCAGGAGTTGAGGTGAGGCCTGCCTACAGGTGCAGAAACTCTGTCATAGCCCTGTGGTGAGCTTGCAGAGTCAGGGGTGGGGGGAGAGGGTGGGGAGGGGCTGGGGGGCCGGGGGCGGGGGAGTGTGGCCTCCAGTCTGTGTATCTCCCAGATCTGCCCTAACCCTGTCTCATGCAGCAGCCCAGAGGGACTTGGAACTCTGGTACTCTCAGGAAATTTCCCTCCCACAGCTCTTACTCTGGCAGGAAAAGGCCCAAAACCTCAGAGGAAGAGAGCAGAGGCCAAGGGAAAGAGAAAAGTGCCAGCTTCTGTTTTGGGGGGGATATGTGATCCCAGAAGAGGCACCGACCAGGTCATCTGGGGTGTCATCTTAGCAAGGGAATTCCAGAAGAGCTGCGGTGCTGCAGAGGCCAGCCTGCTTGGAGCTGGCATGAAGCCCGGGCCACTGGCTTTGAGAGAGAAGGCCAGACCAACATAACCCCTGACTGCACCAGCCAGCCAGCCTGGGTAAGCTGGCTATTTGGCAGCTCTCTTGCTGAGAGCCCAAGTAGGAGGGAAGTGAGACCCAAGTTAGTGAGGTTGAGCGGACCGGAAACAGGGTGTGGCAACGCCAGGCTGGCCCAACCCCGACAGGGTGAGCCTGGAGTGCCATCTGGCTTTGGACTGCTAAGCATCAGGCACTCACTGTTTTCCTGACCCATGCGCCTCCTTTGATGGGTAAGCCAGCTGGCCACCGAGCTTGTGTGAGAAGGGTAGCCCCTTCCCCTAGCCCTGAGGGTAGACATGCCTCTGCGTTTCCCAGCCAGATTTTGGGGTGGGCAGGGGGGGATGGAAAAGTGTACTTTGAGAACCTCCAGGCAGGAAAGGAGTCAAAACCATCATTGGGGTTGCCTGTGGTGCAGCAGGGAGGCTTCCTCTGCTGGGGTGTTCAGGGAACGTCTGCTCCCTGATGCAGGGTCACACTGCCCTTGAAACAGGGATCTGGGCTTTCTACAGGCCTATGGATTCCGCCCCCACCCAACCCCACCCTAGACTAGAGAACCCTGAGGGACTCCTGGGCATAGCGTGAGGCCCCGAGGCAGGGAGCATAAGCTCTGAAGCCAGGAGTTCCCAAGTAAGCCCTTGAATGAGAGGGGCCCTGAGAGGGGAGTCGCTGGTTTGCCTCAGATTTAACCTGGTGTGGGAAGCAAGGCCTGTCTGTCTCCAGTTGCAGTGTTAGGTGGTGGCAGTTCCTCCTGCAAGGAACGCTTGTTCCTGACAGGGAAGGCCGACAAGCTGACAGGTGGAGCTGTAGCTTGATGGCAGCACGGTACTGTGCTCATTTAGCACATGTGAGGCCCTGAGTTCAAACCCCAGTGTGGCAGGAAGAGCCCCAAGACAGGACTTATAACTCCATGTCAAGCTCCACCCAGGTCAGGCAAGAAGGTCCTAAACCCAGCATGGCAGCACACACCTTTAGTCCCAGCAATCAGCAGGCAGAGGCAGGCGGATCTCTGTGAGTTCCAGGCCTGTCTGGTCTACAGAGCGAGTTCCAAGACAACCAGGATTACATAGCAAGGTCCTGTCTCAAAACAACGGCCACCAAAAAGAAGGAGGAGGAGGAGGAAGAGGAAGAGGAGGAGAAGGAGGAGGAAGAGGAAGAGGAGGAGGAGGTGGTGGTGATGGTGGTGATGATGGTGATGGTGATGGTGATGGTGGTGAAGATAGTGATGGTGGTGATGGTGATGGTGGTGATGATGGTGGTGATGGTGGTGGTGGTGATGGTGGTGATGGTGGTGGTGGTGGTGGTGGTGATGGTGGTGATGGTGGTGGTGGTGATGGTGGTGGTGGTGGTGGTGGTGGTGGTGATGGTGATGATGATGGTGGTGATGGTGGTGGTGGTGGTGGTGGTGATGGTGGTGATGGTGGTGGTGGTGGTGATGGTGGTGGTGGTGATGGTGGTGATGATGGTGGTGATGGTGGTGATGGTGGTGGTGGTGGTGGTGGTGATGGTGGTGGTGATGGTGGTGGTGGTGGTGGTGATGGTGGTGGTGGTGATGGTGGTGGTGGTGATGGTGGTGATGGTGATGGTGGTGATGGTGGTGGTGGTGGTGATGGTGGTGATGATGGTGGTGATGGTGGTGGTGGTGGTGGTGGTGATGATGGTGGTGGTGGTGGTGATGGTGGTGGTGGTCCTGGGCATGTCACCGTTTACATGACACTTCCTTCTATAGTCTCATTTCAACTTTACCACAGCCTTGGGGACCGAGGTTGGCCTGAGGCTCTGCCAGTGTGGGGAAGTCTGTTCCCAGGCCCCGGGGAGATGACTCACTCTCTCTAAGGTGGCTCCTACTTGGGCATGGCCAAGACAAGCAGGTCTCTTGTTTCACCGCCTCCGCGGGAATCCACAGACTGCAAGCAGGCACCTCAGCCCGCAGGGTCTCAAACCTGCTGTCTTCTCACCAGGAGCTGCAGAGCTGTGGTCAGTCCTGTGCCCCCTCTGTCACCAACCTAGAAGAGGGCCCAGAATCTGCATTTTAACACCGTGACACTTGAAGGGACCCAGCCAGCCCAGTCCTGGCAAGCACGGCTCACACGGGCCTTGCCCTTCTCCCCCATCCCTCGGTCTAGCTATAAGCCGTTAGACTGCACTCCTAAAGCTGCCACCAAAGTCCCCTTATTTAGCCACCTTTAAGGCTGACTACCAAGGTCCAGTATCAAAGTACTGAGCCCAGCAATCAGAAGCCCCCTTTGACTCATCTAAGTAACACGCCCAATTAAAATTAAACACCTCACCCTAACACGGGGTTTCCCCTTGTGCCTTCATAAATGGCCAGTTTCCTATGGACCATGTCTGTCTCCTCTCTGTCCAGCGGCGGCCCTTTGTCCTTGCAGGACAAATACCCCTGCCCCCTTTCCCTCCTCCCACCTCCTCTATCTTCTGTCTTTGTCTCTTTTTTTCCCCCTCTGTTGCTCTGGGACAAATAAATCTCCTTTGTGCCTGGTGCCTGCAGAGACCAGAAGAAGATAACGGGGTCCTGGAATTGGAATTACAGACTTGTGTGAGTCATTGTGTGGGTGCTGGGAACCGAACCTGGGTTCTGTGTAAGAGCAGCAAGTGCTCTTTGCTGAGCCATCTCTCTCTCCAGCCCCCATTTATTTGTTTTAGAAGACAAAGTCTTGCTATGTTTCTAGGCTGGCCTCAAACTCCTGGGCCCAGGGGATCCTCTCACATGACAGCTTCCCAAATAGCAGGGATGACATGCATGTGCCACCAGCTGCCGCTTCCCCTGCATTTGTATTTGCTATCTCTGGCGACTCCACACTAGTGGCTCTTTCTGCACCCCATCCCTGGCAGCAGGCAGATGCTAGCTGGAGTCTCCAGGGCCACAGACATAGCAGCACCTCCTGCCCTAACTCTGTTACAGGGAGAAACAGCAAAAAACTAAGGAGGTTAAAAACATTTGATTCCTTGAGAAACGATTTCTAACTCTAGGTTATACTGTTTATCCCACAAAAATGGCCACAGTGAGAACACAAAGCCAGAAGCTGATCGGGAAATCTGCCAATCAGGGACTCCGACATAACTGTTTCAGTAGGAATTCCCCAGGCACTTCTGTCGATGAGAAGTGATGGGCTTTTATTACCTACTTGCTAATTTCTCTTTTTCCTTTGCTTCCTATAAAGTAAATTAACCCATTTGAAATTACAGCTATTCTAGACTTTGTTTTTCTGAGACAGGGTTTCTCTGAGTAGCCTTGGAACTCATTCTGTACTCCAGGCTGGCCTTGAACTCACAGAGATCTGCCTACCTCTGTCTCCCCAAGTGCTGGGGTTAAATATGTGCACCACCACTTCCCTGCTATAGACTGTAATCATGGAACACCCCCAGTGACCATGGAAATCTTGAGTTGGAGAGTACTCATGGTTGAATTGTTTCCCATTAGTTCCTACACAATAGTCCTAATCACAGGGCCTCAGAATGTGCCTTTGTCAGTAAACTGTGTTTTTCTACAGCAGTGGTTCTTAAACTTCCTAATGTTGTGACCCTTTAACACAGTTCCTCATATTGTGGTGACCCCCCAACCATAAAATTATTTTTATTGCTATTTTATAACTGTGATTTTGCTACTGCTATGAATCAAAATGTAATTTTTTTGTTTTTTTTTTGAGACAGGGTTTCTCTGTGGCTTTGGAAACTGTCCTGTAAATCGCTCTTGTAGACCAGGCTGGTCTCGAACTCACAGAGATCCACCTGTCTCTGCCTCCCCAGTGCTGGGATTAAAGGTGTACGCCACCAACGCCAAAATATTTTTTGGAGACAGAGGCTTGCTAAAAGGGTCAGGACCCAAAGGCTGAGAAACACCATTTTAAAGGGACTGAAGGAGAATGAGCTCACTGGAGACACCAGCATGTGTCGGGACTCTCTTTAAAGGTTTATTTATTTTTGTTTTCTTTGTACCACATGCATGCAGTACCTGAGGAGGCCAGAAGAGGGCGTTGGTTCCTCTGGAACTGGAAGTTATAGATAGTTGTGAGGCACCCTCCCACCCCAAGTTGGTGCTTTGTAAAGAGCATTTTGTGAGGCTGGAGAGATGGCTCAGTGGTCAAGAGCACTCGGTGCTCTTCCAGAGGACCCTGGTTCAGTTCCCCAGCACACATATGGCAGCTCACAACCATCTGTAACTTCAGTTCCAGGTGATTTGATGGCCTCTTTTGAGTTTCTTGGGCACAGCATACATGTGTTGCACATACATACATAATACATACATGCATACATACATACATACACACACACATACATACACATGCATATACAAGCAAACGTTCACTGTGGCGGTTTGAATACTTTTCCTCAATTAGTGACTGTTTGAGAGGGCTCAGGGGCGTGGCTTTGCTGGAGAAATTATGTCACTGGGGTAAGCTTTGAGGTTGCAAAAGACTCAGAGTCGCTTCAAGAGCTTGCTCTGCTTCCCGTATGTGGTTCAGATGTGAGCCCCCGGCTGCTGCCGCAGCTGTCTGCCCCTCGCTCCCTCTGCTCTGCCATCACGGGCGCTGACCCTCTGGAACTGCAAGCCCCAAATAAACCCTTCCTTCTAGTCATGCTGCTTTATCGCTGCAACAGGAAAGCAGCGAATACACTCGTACACACACAATAAAAGTAAACACACCTCTTAAAGGAGCAGCAGTCTGGACGCACACATACGGAGGAGAGGCTGTGGCTAGAGCAGGTGCCTCAGGAGGAGACGCCCCTGCTGACACCGTGGTCCTGGACTCCAGCCTGTGGAACAGTGTCCCCCTCGCTCCAGCTGTGCTCTCAGGACGAGTGTGCGTCTCTGTGGAAAGACCATCTGTGGCTGAAGGGAGGGCTCAGGGGGTAGGAGCACTCGGCGGGCTCCTGCAGAGGACCCGAGCTCTGTTCCCAACACCGACACTGAGACGCTCCCAGCTGCCTGTAACCCCAGCTCCAGGGAATGCGATGCCCTCTTCTGGCCTCAGGTGGCCACACCACAATAATGATGATGATGATGATGATGATGTGCATGCTAGTGACCAGTGAGAGCGCCTCCATCCTGACGGGTGCCCCTGAAGGCTAAGCCTGGGTACAGAGGGTCTCAGATCCTCGCTTCCATTCTGTAGTGCCTTCTGCACCCTGATGTTCTTCACTAGAGCTGGTATCCACCCGCGGCTCTCTCTGATTCCCAGGTGACTGTTTCCACCTCCCTGGGAATCTTCCTGCTGTCTGTTTCTGTTCCGCTGCACCTCTCCCCGTGCTAAAGGGCTAGCCATGTCCCCCGAGATCTCTCTCCCACCCCCAAACCACAGGCATGTGCAAAGGGCTTCTGCGTGGACACCACCTGGCTCTCTACCCCAGCATAGCCCTGGCCAGTGGAACATTCTGGGCTGACTGTAGTAGTTGGCCTGCCTGTAGGGTCCATCTAGAATCTGGAGTCACTCAGAGATCCCCTCACCACACAGTGCACGCAGCCTTTTCTTAGTCCCTGACTATTTTCTCCAGCTTTAAATTCTCATTCTTTCTCTAGCACTCCACAGGTTTGGAGCCCGTGTCCGCCCTTCAACGTACACGGCTGCGCGCTGGTGCTCTGCCAAAAGCCAACTCCCGGGGCTGCTCGCAGCTGACTGGAGCAGCAGTCAGGACATCTCTGCCATAGGATGTTTTGTTGTTCATGTGAGTTTTCCAGCCTTAAAGCAGACTCGGTAGCCTAAGTGTCCTATTCCCCTCTGCCTGTGGGCCAGACTCAACTTGATGATGCGAGCCCAACGCGAGAAGAGAAGGAAGATCATTCATTAGGCAGCAGAGGGCGCTGCACACCCGCCGGGAGACGAGCTGTTGAGCGCTACCGCCGCGGGGCGCCCGCACACTGCATCCTGGATAGCCCGTGCCAGCTGGGTGACGCCACCCTTAAAGACAATGGGAGGGACACGCAGAGGGACACTAGGCATAGCCAAGGGTGGGGAACGGTGGAGCTGGTTTCTCCCCATGTCTTGTTCATCCTAACGCTCTGTCCTGACTCCCAAGTTAGCCTAGCCTGCCCGGGAACTCCGGACTCCAGGACCGCTCTCAGTGTAGAAGAGCACCATGGGCGAAAGCCAGAGCAGATGGGGGAGGTGGGGATGGTACCTGGGGCGCTGAGCCCGCACGGAGCTCAACTTTCCTCCAGGGATGAGATGGGGGATCAGAAGAAAATGGTCACTTTGTGACTCCCTCTTTCCCTCCAGGGAGGATACTTAGGCTCGGCATTTAATCCAGCCGGAGGTCCGGGGTGGGGGGATTTCAATGGAGTCCACTAGGTCCTTGGCAGATAGGGGGAGATCACATACCTGTGATGGTTAATTTTGAGTCATATTGACCAGACCATTTGGGAAAGTGTTATTCTGGGTGGTGTGTCCCTAGGGTTGAAGTGTCCGATGCAGAGCCACTTGGCTTCAGGTATCATCACTACAAGGGACTGTCCCTTTCTCACACGTGCCACGCCCTCGTAGCTCTTCCGGAAATGCATCGCACAGGTTATTCCACAGGTGCCTCTGAAATCTTCCTCATCTTCTCCTGCCTCCCCAAACCCTCATTTTGTTAGGATTTCCAACAGAGCACAACCTGAACAAAAGTGGTTTGATTTTCTCTTAAAGCGGTTGCTAGCCTGCTTGGTACTGTCAAGTCTGGTGTCTCCTTATTGCAAAGTGGCTGCTGTCGCTCTGAGCATTGAACACATTTCATTCAGGGAAGAGAAATGAAGAGTGATTGGCAGAGTGCTTTTCTACATTTATCTTCCTCTTATCTTGGAGGAAAAAGGCTTTGTCAGAAATGTCCAAATGACTGTCCCCTTTCATCTTGTTGTCCAAGGAGTGTCATGTGGGCCCCTCAGAGCAAGTCTGGATCGACATTCTTGAGATCAAAGGAACTCAGTTGAGAGCTGAGAAATCGGGGTCATGGCGGCAGAGGTGGGGGCGGGGGACAGCTCTGGCATCATGGTCTGTCTCCTTCCTCCTCCAACTGCTGGCCCAGGGAGCTTGTCCATGACTGGCAGGTGAGGAACTCAAGACTTTTATGTGATGCAGCTGGAGTCTCCAAAGGCTTTCAGCAGACAGAGCTCATGTGACCCTATGGTACTCTGGCAACTGGGGCTGTAATAGGAGGGGAGGAAACGGGGGGAGGTGACTCATGAGGAGCCTTCAGAGGCAGAGCCATAGCTTGTCTGTCTCAGGACAGGTGAGGCAAACCTAAGAGCTAACCAAGAAACGGAGCCCGAGGGTTATGGTGAAGGATGGGCCGCCAGGTCATGTTGAACTTGAGACACCTTGGGTGTAGGGAGTTTCCTGTGAGAGGCAGTGGTGGCAGGTCTCAAGGAGGGAGGAGGGGCTTGAACATGGGCCTCAAGTCCCAAGGGAAAAGGCCTTCACAAGAGACCAAAGAGGGCAGTTCCCAGTCCAGGCTCTCAGCTCTAATTTCACAACAGCCTGCACTCTCACACCCTTAGGTAAACCGTGGCTCCTTGCAAAAGCGCCCTCATTTCTTAAGGTCCAGGAACATCTGCCGATTCCTGGAACATGGCCAACCCAGGTTCCAGATAGACCTGTCTGTCACTCCTAGGCTACCCACATTTCCTCATCTGCTTCTGGATGGATCATGTCATGCCCTTTCATGCACTTAGGTTATCATTTATCTTGGTAAGATTTACAGTGCGAGTATAAACTGCCCAGGTCCAAGAATTCAGTGGTTGCTCATTCCCTGAGGCTGGATGTCTAAGACGGTCGTCAGTACTAACCAGGAATCCAAACCAGGCTCTAATGCCAGCGAAGGAATGGGCTTGCTAGTGAGGCTGAGCAGGCAGAAAGAGAGAGAACGCTCCTCTTCCCTGTCTTTCACACAGCAGGCTGCCAGCAGAAGGTGTGGTCCAGACCAAAGGTGGACCTTCCTGCCTCCAAGATCCTGATTAGAAGTGGGTCTTCCTGCTTCAAACGATTTATTTAATCAAGAAAAACATCCCTACTGGTGTGCAGACATTTGGGTTTCACTTTTTAAGACGGAGTCAGGCTGACCAACAAGAGTGGCTGTCACAGCATTGGAGTGTTGTGCCTGCGTAGCCCCCAGGACTAGTTATAAGTGGCTGTGAGCCACCACGTGTACGGTAGGACGGGACCTCTGATGCCTCTGAAGACCAAATGCTCTTAATCACCAAGCCGTCTCTCCAGCCTACTGGACACTTTAAAAAGAATGCAATAAACACATTATTGGGGGCAGGGAAGTTGTATCTTGAAAGGTAATTCCTTTCATTACATGTAGCAGTGAATGAAATTCCTGGTAAAGGAGTTTCTCACTTCCATTTCAGGAAAGCCAAGAGTTCGGTTAGTGGTGTGCTCAGGTTGGGTTCCCACCTAATGCTTGCTGATGCCCGGCCAACAACAGGAGGCTCAGAGACGCCTCCGATGTGCTCCTAGGTGGCGACTGCCAGTGTCTGCCAGCGAGGAGGTGCTGCCGAGATGACATGGCCATCTGCTGTGGCCCACCATGGCTATTCCTAGTTACAAACCCAGAAGAAAGGCACCCATCTGTCCACCACACATGCCGGAACATTCGTAGTGGCACTGCTCATAATAGCCCCAAGCTGGGAACTACTATATCACACTGAGAAGGGACCACCCACAGCTATGCGTTATGGATGAGTCTCAGATACAATATTGAAAGATATCAAGCACCAAAAGGCACAGCTCCATTTATGTCCAGCACAAGACACAACTAAGTGTGGAGAGAGGTTATGTTATGGTGGCAAGAATATGAGGGGGCTCCCAGAATCCCAGCAAGCACCTCTTCACCTGTGGGCTGATTACGCATGCATCTAGTGAGCTGTGTGTAGCCAGATTTTTTTTATTCCAATTGAAAGAGGGCCAAAACACGATGGTGAGAAGCCTCACCCATTTGTGGAGGTTCTGGTTGAAAACTGTCAATGGGGACTTATCTATCTGTCCCAGAGTCCCAGCAGGGTGAAATCTGTCTTGGGTTAGATTCCAAATGTTCTAGACTCATAGGCAGAGCTATGAAAAATTAATAGTCTCATGTCACAACTGAGCTTCCTGGATTTAAAACTCAACTGTGATTTGTGTGACTTAAAGCAACAGCCATCCAATTACTGTATCAACGCCACATGGAGTGATGTCCATTTTTTGGTTTCTCAACTTCATAAGCATTTTGCTTGCATGTATGTATGTGTACCATGTATGTGCCTGATGCCTGTGGAGCTAGGAAGAGGGGGGTCATATCCCCTGGAACTGGAGTTATAGATAGTTGTAAGCCACCATGTAGGTACTGGGAACTGAGCCTGGATACTCTTTAACTAAGGTATCCATCTCTCCAGTTCTCAAGATAACTTTGAAGCCCAGCTCTGATGAGATCCTGGCTATGGAAGGTGCCTATCAGCACTGGGGAGGCTGAGGATGGAAGACCATGTATGAAAGGAGTTTCAATAGGTCTAGATAATAAAAGGTCGGAGTCAGATATATAGGGAAATGCTGAGAGATCAGAGAAGCAGCAAGCCATAGCACCTTACCTCCGAGAGTCACTTCCTGTCTGTATAGACCTCCAGACCTCTATGGTTAGATAGGGGCAAGCTCCATTCTCTGACCCACAGACAGGCTTTATCTGTTTTTTGCTTTTTGTTTTGTTTTGGTTTTTTTTTTGTTTTTTTTTTGAGACAGGGTTTCTCTGTATTGCCTTGGAGATTGTCCTGGAACTTTCTCTGTAGACCAGGCTGGCCTCGAACTCACAGAGATCCGCCTGCCTCTGCCTCCCGAGTGCTGGGATTAAAGGCGTGCGCCACCAATGCCCAGCGACAGGTTTTATTTGTGCAAGAAAGATATCACCACAATCATGGTCTGAGTTATACACGAAGTTCCCAAGAGGACTGAGAATGAGTGAAGCCATCTCAACAACTGTTGTGATCCTGTCCTGCCAGACTGGGTTGTCTGCAGCAGACAGGTACCCTTAGCACACTACAATGACAGGCCAATTTCCAAAAATCCCAAACCCTCCACATTAAAGAAAGAGCTCCATAGCTTGGTGCGCATGCCCACTCTAAGCATACTGCCTTCCCTTGGCCCATCATGTAGCAGCCATGGAACAACAGTAGTGGGCTTCAAGGAGAACTTTCCTGTGATCTTCGGGTCCTCAAACAGATTTTAAACTATGCATACACTTGTTCTTTTGTGATTTAGTCCAGAAAGAAAAATGCAAAAGCTGAGGGCCACTCCTGCTGATAAGGACAAAGTGAACTCTTACCCCACGCTGTGCACCACAGGCAGTGCTCCTCATCAGTTTGGATCTGGAGTGCCCCCATAAATGTTTGGCTACAGGACTGATTCTTGGTATCGGGCTCAACTTTTAGGATTTGGGGCCTAGTGAAAGTTAGGTTGTGCAGTCTGTGTCCTCCAAGGTGACACAGGCCCCCTCCTTTTGCTCTTACAATGCCTGGCCACCATGACAGACCTCCCCTGCCACCTCTCTGCCATGATGCACTGCTGTACCTCAAGACCAAAGCAAAAGGGTTACAGTCAAGATAACCCTTTCCTCCTTTTGAGTTGACATAAGAATTTTGTCCCAGCAACAGAAAACTGACGGGCACACTTTGCTTACTTAGAAATCAGGTTGGTAAACAAGGAAAGGAATGCAGTTATTTTAATAAAAAGGTGCTTGGGCCTTTTTTCCACCGAGGCCATTTATTTACATTTAGGTCCCATCATTTGCACTAAATGAATAGATCACCAGGTTTCCATCAACACCGTTAGGCCAAGGGGGAAGAGAAGCATCCTGGGAAATGGAAGGTTGCTTGCCCCTCCTTGGATGAGAATGCAGAAGGGTGGGAGAGCAATCTTCAGATTGAGAACTAAGTGTAGAGCAATTTCAGAATCACAATCATGGAAATGGGACATAAAACTCTTTGTCCGTGACATAATAGGTAAAAACAAAGAACAACCGGCAAAATGAATACAAATAAATCTCTTTTGAATTAGGTATTGTGTCTTTTTATTTCAAAAGAAAGATACCAAGAAGCAGAGGAATGAAGCAGTTAAAACCAGCAAAGCTGCAAAGTAGGAGAGGAAGCCGAAGGGGAGACAGAGCTGATTGGATGACAAAACCATTAGTGCAAACCCCAGGGTCCAAGGCTGCAAAGCCCAAGTCACAAGTCCAACTCTGGCAGCTCGCTGACCCATCGCAACAGGGCCCCGCCCTTTCTGCTGAGTCCTAGCTTTGCACACCCTGGACAGGTCATGCACATACATGGTACACTTCAGGGTTACATGAAATTGCATGCAATTCACACAGAACATTTTTGGAAGGCACTGTAATGCGTAGCAGGAACTGCTACTTTCTGGCAAGTCTTCCTAGGGTGGGCCAAAAGTGGTCCTCCATGTTAACTCACTGGACACTCTGGTGCCAAACTCAGGTGCTACTCAGCCCCACCAAGCCAATCATCTTGCCTTCTCACCCTCTCTTCTACTTCCCCTTCTTAAAGCACACGCCAAGCTTGGATGATGGTGTTTTCTGACGAAGAAATCATGTTTCAGACAGACTTTCAAACACTTTCAGTCAATCAAGCCAAGTTTCACAAAAGCTATTACATTTACAGTAAGTGGTGGCCAGTTTCATTTCT